GTCGGACGCTTAACCGACTGCGCCACCCAGGCGCCCCTGCTATGTTTTCTTAAAATTCATGGTTTGCTTCCCTCTCTCCTCCCCATATGATTGGCTGTTCTGTTTTTTTTTTTTAATTCCACATATGAATGAAACCATATGGTATTTGCCTTTCTCTGACTATATATATATCTCACATCTTCTTTATCCATTCATCAGTCAGTGGATATTTGGGCTCTCTCCATAGCTTGGTTATTATTGATAATGCTGCTATAAACATCGGGGCGCATGTAACCCTTCAAATCAGTAGTTTTGTATCCTTTGGTTAAATACCTAGTAGTGCAATTGCACTATTCTATTTTTAACTTTTTGAGGAACATCCATACTGTTCTGCAGAGTGGCTGCACTAGTTTGCGTTCCCACCAAAAGTGCAAGACAGTTCCCCTTTCTCCTCATCCTCACCAATACCTATTATTTCTTGTGTTGTTAATTTTAGCCATTCTGACAGGTGTGAAAAAAAAAACCTACAACTTAATAACAATCATAGTTAATCATCAACAGGGTCCTGACAGCAAGATGTTACATATATGTATATAACATCATATTATGGTATAATGGGGTGGAAAGGGCATAAATCTTAGAATCAAGTGAACTGGGTTTAGAGCTCAGTTTTGCTACATGCTGCTTAAATGAGTATAACCATGGAAAAAGTACTTAACCTCACTAAGTTTTCTTTTCTTTATTTATAAAACAATACCACCTATCACATAGACTTATGAAGACTGAGATAAAAGTCAGATAAAATAATTCAGATATTTATCCTGAGAAAGTTATAAGCCAAATTGGTATCTGAACTTCAAGGATAGGTAACAAATATTTTCATCTGAATAATTATTATTGTTTTAATCTTTTATTTGAATCTTGGAGAATAAAGTCTCACTTTTCACTTCTGCTTCTAGTTCCACTTGTCCTATTCAGACAAAGAACGCTATGAAAATGAAGAAAGACCTGAGGTCCAGAAGCAGATGCTCATCGATATGGCCAAAAAGCTACCAGTTTACACAAGAACTGGGAGTGGAGGTCAGTTCATTGAAAGTCACCTAGAGAAGCAGATCAGCAAGGATCTCAAAAAGGCTAAGTCATATATATCCACAGGCTCACCTGTATACCTAGCATTTGGAGTCCACCACTAACATTTGCTATGTTACTTTATCACCTATCTTTCCACAAATCCATCCCTCTATCCATCTCCCATCAAGCCATCTTATTTTTTGATACATTTCAAAGTAAGTATCAGATATCAATACACACCTACCTATATATTTTATCATTCTTTTTTGGGTGAAATTTGCATATAAAGACATGCATAAATCTTAAGTGTGCCATTCGGTGTTTTGACAAATGTATACATCAATGTAACCAAAACCTCTATAAACATTACCACACCCCATAAACTTCTTTTATACTCCTACCCAGTAGGAGTACTGGGTACCCAACAACCACTATTCTGCTAGTTTTCCACCATAGATTAGTTTTACCTGCTCTAGAATTTTACATAAATAGAATCATACAATATGTACTGTTGTGTCTGGCTTATTTTATATAGCATAATATTTTTGACATTCATTCACATTGATTTTTATTTTATTCTCTTATTGCTGAGTAGTATTTCATTGTATGAATATATCATAGTTTGTTTATCCATTCACCAATTGATGCATATTTGGTGTTTCCAGTGCTTAATTATCATGAATATTCTTGCACAAGTATTTGTGCAGAGATATGTCATCTTTCTTGGGTAAATATCCACTATGGGGTTTTACTCTTCGTTTTCATCTGTGTGACTAGAAGAGTACTAGCTGAACCAATTCTCCACCTTTCAAAATTTGAAAATGAAGCCTCTTTTGACAAGATATCCTAATGTTTCTGATAAGAAAGATCATGTTTCAAGGATGTGGGAATTATACTGTTAGACATCTGTGTTTATCTATTTATCATTTATTTATTCAACAATCATATATTAAGGTCCTATGTGGCAATTGGGGGAATTTTAATATGGTCTGGGTAAGGACTTATTAATTTTGTTAGAGTATTGATGTCATGGTTCTCATGATTTTTTTAAATTCTTCATGCACACTGAAATATAGTGAAAAGTAGACAGGAAATTATTTGTATAATTTATCACAGTAGTAAACAGAATGATGTGATAGAACAGAGGTTGGTTACAAACTGAAGGCCTGTGGGATGAATTGGACCTGAGATACATTTTGTTGATCTCTAATGTATCTTTTAAAACTTTGCACTTGTTTATATTATCTTATAATTATTTGGTTTCCTGTGTTTTCTCCTTCCTTGATTGTTAGCCAGTTAAAGGCAAGGAGCTTCATCTCATACTGAATTTTGTATTGGTAGTACCTTTTTCAGCGTTGGGCACTATTCACAGATCAATAAATATTTGTTGAATTGAAAAAAAAAAACTTTGCACTTGTTTTTAATTTTTAACAATTGTAATTTTCCACATGAAAGTTCATATTTCTGGCTTCTCTTGAAAACTCAGACATCTGGCAATTTTCAATTACATTTTCACGTGGCAAAAATTAGCTAAAGCTGAGTAGTAGCAACTCTTTTTAAACAGGGCATGAATTCTCAGGTTCTCTCACAGTCTTCAACTGGCTGCTCCACTCACTACCAACTATTCTCTGGACACTTGAATCATTTGTTTGCCGCCCTAATGACATAAAGAAATTTTCTCTGAGGAATATCATTTTATTTGAGACCTGAATAATAAAAAAGTAACTAGCAGGAAATAAAGAACAGAGGGACTAACATCCCAGGCAGAAGGTACTGCAAGTACAAAAGGCCCTTAGATAGGAGCAAGCTTACAGTATTAGAAGAACAAACATATAGCCAGTGTGACCAGAGTATAGCAGGTGGAGAGTGATACCAGTTAAAATTGAAGAGCCAAGCAGAGGCCAGATGATTCAGGCCATGGAAAGGAATGTGGATTTTATTCCAAGGGTGTTTGAAGGGTGTTTTAAGTTTATTTACTTATTTATTTATTTATTCATTTTGAGAGAGAGAGAGAGAGAGAGACCACAAGTGGGCGAGGGGCAGAGAGAGAGGGAGAGAAATAGAACCCCAAGCAGGGTCCACACTGTCAGCACAGAGCCTGATGTGGGGCTCAAACTCACAAACTGTGAGATCATGACCTGAGCTGAAGTCAGATGCTTAACCAACTGAGCCACCCAGGCACCCCAAGTACACTGAAGGTTTCAAGTGAAGAGTGATATAATCTGATTCACATTTTAACAGATTATTTGGCTATTCTATAAAGAATGAATTGTGGGGAACAGAAATGAAAGCAGAGTAAATAATTAGGCAGCTATTGCGATCATCTAAATGAGAGATAATGGCGGCTTAAACTGGGCAATGGCATTGACTGTTCAATTCAATGCTAAATGAATTAAACATGCATGACCCTCTCCCTTCTTCATTGCCTCAATTATACCCATGCTTTTGTCACCCCTCCATTGCTAGAAATAAACACAAACTGCTAAATTAGCACTCACTTATGCTGAATTAGTTATGTGTGCTTAATGTACACTTCAGATGGAATTATTATATTAGCTCAAATTATTCATGATTTTAATTGTTACACTTAATAATAATTACATTAAACACAGTCATACTGTATCAATGAACAGAGAAAAAATGAGTAGAAAAGGAAAATGCCTTTCATCTAAGGGAAAGGAAGGAAGGAAGGAAGGAAGGAAGGAAGGAAGGAAGGAAAAAGGGAAAGAGAAATGTGTTTTTTATATCAGACTTACAGAGTGAAGAGGGCCCTGAATGAACTAAAGAGTCAGAAAACTGTAGTGGTCACAATTCTGCCACTCACTTGCTATGTGCAAGTAAGTCACTTGATTGGTTCAAGTCTTTACTTCATTTATCTGTGAAATGGTCAATTGAATTAATTGTTTTCAGATAGGAAAGTTGGAGTAAGCAATCTAAATGATTTTCCCCCAAGATCACTCAAGCAGTTGACAGTAAGGTTTGTTTTATAATACCGAATCTTATTATCATATATACAGATATGAAAACATTTCCTTTCACCTTCATCCCCCAAAAGGTACCTTCAAGATTGATCTAACAGGAGAAAAAATACATACCACAATTCTCTTCTGTGATCTGCCTTTTTCTTGGTAACTTGAAATGAGTTTGACTACCCACAATCAGTGTATAACAAGCCATTCAGATAGGCTAGTAAGATATGTGGTGTCATATTGAGCCCTAACCAATGCTAACCACCTGATTTTTCCTATAGCTGTTAGATTCTGTGACCGGTGCCATTTAATCAAGCCAGATCGCTGCCACCACTGCTCTGTCTGTGCCATGTAAGTGACATCCATATTTCCCCTGGGATGAGCTTGGCCAGTGATGATGGTTGCTTAGACAACAAAATGACTGATGCTAACATGTGACCATGCCTAGATAAGAACATTTCCTTTCAATCATAATGAGCACATGCCAAGCACCCTCTTGGGATGATGATGATTCAAATTATTCCAAAGATAGGAAAAATATATAAAACCCCATTTTAAAAATAAATGTTTTATTTTAGAAACAGTTTTAGATTTACAGAATTATTGTGATTATAGTTCTCATATGTCCTACATCCATTTTCCCCTATTATCAACATCATACATTAATGTGATACATTTGTTACAATTAATGAACCAACATCAATACATTATTTTTTAATTTTTTAATGTTTATTTATTTTTGAGAGAGAGAGAGAGGAGGGCAGAGAGAGAGGAAGACAAAGAATCCGAGGCAGGCTCCAAGCTCCGAACTGTCAGCACAGAGCCTGACTTGGGACTTGAACTTGTGAACCATGAGATCATGACCTGAGCTGAAGTTGGACACCCAACCAACTGAGCCACCCACGTGATGCATCAATACATTATTTCTAATTTAAGCCCATATTCTATTTACACTTCCACAGTTTTTCTCTAATGTTCCTCTTCTGTTCTAGGATCCCATCTGGGATACCACATTACATTTAGTTGGCATGTCTTCTCAAGGTCTTTTAGCTCTGACAGTTTCTCAGACTTTACTTGTTTTCAATAACCATGATAGTTTCTAGGATTTTAGTATTAATGATCGGGTATTTTGTAGAATATCCTTCAGGTGAGATTTGTCTGATATTTTTCTCATGGTTAGACTTGGGTACTGTGTTTTGGGTAGGAAGACCATAGAGGTAAAGTACCATTATCATTGTATTGTATCAAGGGCACACACTATGAACATGACTTATGACTGCAATATTAATCTTGTTCATTTGTCTGAGACAGTGTTTGTCAGTTTTCTCTAATGTAAGTTTACTCTTCCTCCCCCCCCCTTCCTTTACTCTTTGGAAGGACGTCACTATATATAGCCCACACTAAAGAACAGAGGAATTATGCCCCCCTCCTTAAAGGCAGAGTATATACATAAATTATTTGGAATTCTTCCAAATAATGTGAAGAAATCTGTGCATGGGAGATTTGTCTCTTCTCCCTTATATGTTTATTTATGATTCATATAAGTTTTTAGGCATGGATAATCACTTTATATTTTGGGCTGTACCTCAGTTCTACTTTATTTTCTTACTCTAATTGCTCCAACTTTATAAAATCATATTTTTATGTTAATAAATATAATATTCATGTCCTTCTTCTTGGGTGTATGTTCCACCCACATTTCTCTTGCCCTTGATTCAAACAGGTGTGTCAAAATTTCAGCAATAGCCAATGTAAAACAAATAAATCATCAGAGTAGTAATTAGTAAAATTTCATTGTGCATACAACAAAAAGACGATTTACAAACCAGGAGCACTCAAACCAAAACATAAAATGAGACTTTGGGTACATCGTTATAAAACAGCTTATATAGTGGAAAACAAGGCCTGTTTAATCTTCACAGTGATTAGTTAAAATATTAGAATTTTCTTAAATGAAAGAGACTTGGTAAATCATTACTTTATATCGACCTTAGAAAACAGCTTAAGTATTGTTGATGATTTCCAGAGACATAAGCAAGAAATGACCCAGGTCAAGTCAGTCTTACAAAATAAGCTAAATTAAGGTTTGTTTGTATGACTAAACTAGTTTTGTCTGCTCAGGAAAGTTTCAAGGATGGTCTCCATTTGTTTTTGTTTTTGTTTTTATTTTAACAGACTGTAGCCATATGTATTCTTCTGTACTTTTATTAATCTGTATATTGAGAAAAATGAGGGGAGATACCTTAGACTTCTAGGCATGTAACTTGCTTCCAGCATAATTCTATAAACTGTTATGATTGGCTTATCCTAGAAATAATTGATGTCCAAATAGTTTGGGAATAATGTATATTGGAAATCTAGGAATGAGTGTACTGGTACCATGTAAAAATACTAGTGAGATCTTGAGTTAAATTATGAGGTGTTACTTCATTTCTATAGGTCCACTTATCACACTGTACTTTGTTTCTTTTGTAGGTGTGTATTAAAAATGGACCATCATTGCCCTTGGTATGTCCCTTTGATTCATTTCTTTCCGCTGAAAGAGTAAGAGTTGCTTAAAATGCATAGTTTCCTAAGCATAGTTGTAACATGCTTATTTCTACAACCATAAATCACTGGGCTTTGTATTTGCATGGGTGGGGGAGGGGAGGCATGACATTTTAAAGCAAAAATAAATATACCACCAAAGGTATGGTGGTGAATTCATGGGCTCACAAAGCTCACAGTCTTTTGTCCATTAGCTTTAGTAATTGGGTGTAGTAATGAAATTGAGCACAAAAAGTTCCCTTCTTTGACATTATACAATTCAGTTCTGTTTTTAGCTATCTTGAAGTTTGAAATATTCTAGATTGTTAACTTCAGTAATTCTTCTCCAAATTTTGTATGTCTGACCTACAGAACCAGTCTGAACTGTCCAACTAAAAAGAGAACATGCCTCACTGTACTAAGTGTAGCTGCTGAGATTGTAATAGGTTTTCAGCATCCAAGATTCAAGTTTTCTTGTGTGTGTCAGGAACCAGTCTGGAACTATTAAGTAGGCCAGGTGTCTCTGTGCTTGTAAATGAAAGGAGAAACAAGTGAAACATGAACTTGTTTTTCCAGTCTGTTCCTATTAAGGCACTTCTATTTATGTTGAGTTTCTACACAACACATAATGAAGCAGCAGGAGTTATGTATTTCCATTGCTTAGTTCACTTATGTATCAGTGTGTTCTCAATGGATCCTGATTTCAAATTAGTTTTTCTTTTTTTCTTTTTTTAGGGTTAATAATTGCATTGGATTTTCCAACTACAAATTCTTTCTTCAGTTTTTAGCTTATTCTGTTCTCTACTGCCTGTACATTGCTACAACAGTCTTCAACTATTTCATCAAATACTGGAGAGTAAGTTAAATAATCATGACAGGTCACCCCTAGAAAAAAACACATACCTACTCCAATCTGTGACATTTTTTCAACTTTTCTTTTTACATTTTGAAATAGCTAATACTAAGGTAACCAGAAGGAAAGGCACCAAAAACAAGTTTCCCATGTTGAATATTCTGAGATTTAGGAGTTTGTTATTTAAGGATTCCACTTACATATTTCTGTCATACATGAGAAGCTTGTTAAGACCTTTAGGAACATAACCTCTTGACTCTCAGTCATGCATTACAATTTACTTATCTAGTCAAATTATAAAAATCCACTTATTACCAATTATAGATTTTTAAAATGTTGAAACTAATTTTGAATCTCTAGTTTCCAAAGAAAAGGCTAACAAAGTACTCCCTCATCATTGAAAAATACTTTCTCACTTCCTGTTCAAAGGAGAGTTGCAAAATTCCTGCAGAACAGACAGATTCATTGACTCTTCTTCACATGTGACCAAAATGAAAAGGAGAGTCTTATTTGAACTTTGTATTATTTGAACTTTGTATGACAAACACTGGATTGAGAATTGGGAAAACTGAGTTCTAATACCGGCTCTGTTACCTGTTTCACTGGCTCATTTCCAAGATCAAATGAAATGTATGTTGGAAGTACTTTACCTTTCAAAATATGATTCCAATAATTATAGTGAAATCTAAAAAACATTTCATATTTCTTCTACTTAAAGATTTCAACCATAACCTATCTATTTTCAAAAGAATTAAAGGCAGATTTTTAATTTACATACGTGTATGGGGTCTGGCAGCAATGTAGTGATTTTTTTTTTTATTTCATGCCAATGGACTCCAAAAGATATCCCTTCCCCACAACTCTAGTACAGCAGTGAAGATATCATAACCTCCCATGATGAGGGCTGTCCAAACTAAACCTAAATGGCAAAAGACAGATTTGGACAAAGCTACTAGTTATTACTTTAGGAATTGCACAAGCGCATATATAAACAGGAATATCTCACCTCAGGTGAATAGGTAAAGCAGCGGGAAAGAATGTGAATCTTGCGACCAAAGTATAGTTCATAATAAACTGGAGAACAAAGGAGAAACACAAGGCAGTGAGAACTTAAATACCTGAGAATATTTAAATTATTAATTAAGGCTTTGATCCCTGCTAGTGTAGAAAATATAGTGTAGAAAATTATAGTGATATGTGCTTTCCATTCTCCCTTCAACTTGCTTAGTCAATACAGATATTTAATAACTATAAGAATCAGGAATTATATAATGGATATCAAAATCTTCAACTCAGAGATACAAAAGTATAAGCAAAAATGAAAATTTTCTCATAAATTTTCCCCAAATACAAAATATTTCACTATCTTGGCGGTTCTGGCTCCTTTCCACAGCACAGGATCTCTTCTCTATTGCTCAGGTTTTCATGACCTGTTTGGCATCCCATTTACACACTGAGCTACTACTCTGAATGTAAAGAAAATCTGTATCCAATTCAGCAGGGAAAGTGTCAGCCTTGGTCTTCACTACAGACCTTACTTGGTCCTTAACACAATAGGCTACTATTTAAGAATTCATAACAAAGTAAACAATGTTGCATTTTATATATTTTGCCTTAACCCTCCAAGTCAATCAATAATCAAATACCACAATGCCCTCCAGGTGCTGTGTGTTTTTTTTACTCTTGAAAGATAATATTTGGATATGAATTACCAGAAATATGTCAGTATTCACAATCACAAGATGAACATAGCCTTGTCCTTCTCCTAGTCCCTCATTTTTTTCTCTATAGTAGACTAGCTCATGCCTGACAGATGGGATGTAAGAAAACTTGTCTTGGCTTCTCCTAATAATGAAAAGTGAATTGACAATAGAGAGAAATGCTTCTTTGCAGTCTCTCCAGCCATAAAGCACTTTGGTGTGGTTTAGAGATGGCTTTCTCAGTTTAAATTGAGTCTTACCTTAAAATGAAAAGTAAACACTGCCATATATTTTAAAAACCATGTATCAAGGAGACTAGCAGTTCTAAGAACAGCAACCCCCATTTGTATACTTTGCCATTTTCAAAACACTTTAATATCTATTATCTCATCTTATCCTCACCACAACCTTGTAAAGTACACCAAACAAGAATTGTTAGTCTCATTTAAAAATGATAAAACTGAAGCTTATTGTTCTTAAGTGACTTGCTCAGGATCACCCAGCTTGTAAGTTTCAAAGTCAGGACTAGAAGCTGTCTCACGCTAAGCCCAATGATTTTTTTTTTTAAATTTTTTTTTCAACGTTTTTATTTATTTTTGGGACAGAGAGAGACAGAGCATGAACAGGGGAGGGGCAGAGAGAGAGGGAGACACAGAATCGGAAACAGGCTCCAGGCTCCGAGCCATCAGCCCAGAGCCCGACGCGGGGCTCGAACTCACGGACCGCGAGATCGTGACCTGGCTGAAGTCGGACGCTTAACCGACTGCGCCACCCAGGCGCCCCTAAGCCCAATGATTTTAAACACTGTACCATATACTATTGCCCATTATGGTCCTGCTATGGAAAAGCTATAGCTCCTTTGAAATAAAGAATTCAGAAGACCATCAGAGCATATTTTTCCTATATATATTAACTTAAAGTGTAGCTACTTTATATGAAATTGATATTTGCCTTATGAAAAAAGTAGTAATATACACTTTCCACAGTGGGCCATGAATCTCCTCACAGAGACTATGAATTATTTTAGAACCAAGATAGTAGTATTATTCTACCAATATTCCCCTGAACTGTTCTGGTGGTTACTGCTTTGAGTAATTTAGATTGGTTATCTCCTGAGAAGGTAATTTTGAACATAGGACCATCAGCCTTTTCTAACGACAACAACGACAACAACAAAAAGGACTTTATCAAGGAATATCCTTTGGCAGAAAAAAGACAATTCTGCAAAAGTAATTAGGAGAGGAAAAGACTTCCAGCTCAGCCAACCAGGGTGTGAACTGACTCTATCAATCCCTCTTGCATAGACATTTCCTATTGCCCATTTAAACATGAAAGATTAAGAAGTAAAATAAATGTAAGATTTAAAAACTTTAACAAATATACTCAAAAAGCAGAGATTATGAAAGCAAAAACCCAGCTAGGCCAAAACCACTACAAAACAACATATAAAATCTTTTCCATAAATTTAAAACAAAACAAACACAGGGGTACCTGGGTAGCTCAGTCTGTTAAACATCTGTCTCTTGGTTTCAGATCAGGTCATGATCTCATGTTTTGTGGGTTTGAGCCCCACTTCGGGCTTCACGCTGATAGTGCAGAGCCTGCTTTGGATTCTCTCTCCATCCCTCTCTCTCCCTCTCTGTCTCTCTCTCTGTCTTTCAAAAGAAAGAAAGAAGGAAAGAAAGAAAGAAAGAAAGAAAGAAAGAAAGAAAGAAAGAAAACTTAAAAACAAAAAACAAAAAACAAACACAAACCAATCAAATTCAGTTTGTATGCTTGGGTCAAGATTTTGTGGAAGGAACATTTCAGAAAGGAGCTTCAGATAAAATTGCCTGAAGGTTTAAGTCCTTGAGGTATCCATTTCCTGGGGTGCTCTGCCCACATGCAAATTTCACTCAGACCACTGCTCAGCTTAAAAAACCTGACTGACTGACTTCCCCTTATCTTCATCCTTCACATATATGCACTCTGAAAGATCCTTAACATTTCCTTACATCAAAATGAATAAAAATCTTCTTTATGAGAAGAAAAAAAATCTGTGCTATGTCAATTTGCCAAGTGTTTTCAAGTCTTAATTTTTCCTTCCAAACTGAAGTAGAACCAGATCCTAATGTTATGGTCCACTTCAATCAAGTATCACCTTTAACTTTATTACTCAAGAGCATTTGGGAAATACTTTATTGCAATTCATCATGCCAAAACAATGATCACAAGTTCTCTCAACTGCTCACTCCAAAATTGAAAATGTTTTCTAAGGTTCTCTTCAAAAGACAAAATTTATACACCGTGCATGCTATAAAACTTTAGAAAATTTATTCTGGTCTAGGACTGCATGTAAAAAAAGAAAATAAGATGTCACAGATAAACTATAAAAGTCATTAGCTACCTACTTTTACAATTGCCAGTCAAATCCTCTTTGATTTTAATGTCTAAAGAGCTATTTCACAGGATGTGACATACCAGCATATTCTATTTCAGCTATAAAAAAGAACAACACAAAATTTACAGTAGCTTTTAAATCAGGTTATAACTTATAGGTAGAATATTTTAAAATTCTACCTATATGTCTTAACTTGTTTTCAACATACATATGTTGTGACATTTTCAACACACATATATTCAAGGAAACATGACATATAAAGTATTTCAGAATAACCCATCTTGAGACAAGAGGATGACCTCAAGATCATCTCTGACCAAATGATTCATAATTTGCAAACTAAATGTAGTACAAACTTTAAGAGATTGCATGCCAATTATGACCTGAGTATATCCTTTTTTTACACTGCTCTAATTGCTGCATTATATACTCTGATTTACACTGAACTTAATCAAGGATCCATTTTAGGCTATAATTTATAGGCTGGAAGCATATCTATAATGTGGTATGGTCATCAACAGAAAGAACTCATAAAAATTTTATAAAATCTATTTTTTAATTGCAGCTAGACACTTTATACATATGATAAAAGTGCTAACAAATATAAAAACTAGTTAAACCTGAAAAGTTTAATCCTTTGTTTCTATTTCCTTATTATTTCTTTTCTAGGGGGAATTGCCCAGTGTTCGCTCAAAGTTCCATGTTCTTTTTCTCCTCTTTGTGGCCTGCATGTTTTTTGTCAGCCTTGTGATTCTCTTTGGTTACCATTGTTGGCTTGTCAGCAGAAACAAAACCACCTTAGGTAAGACTGGATATTAAGACTAGGGAAAAAACACATTAATGTATATCATAGTAGCCTGTAGATTATTTGCAAGGAAAAGAAAAAGTTCCAGTGAGGCATTTTAGTTTTAGTGACGTTCCTTTGCCTCTAAACTGAGACAGATGTAAACATGTTTTACCAAACTGGAGAGCCATAGTGAATGAAGCTTGCAAACTAAAGAAGGCATTATTAGAGAGGGAAGATGGCGGCGGAGGAGGACGCTGGGCTCAACGCGCGTCCTGCTGATCACTTAGATTCCACCTACACCTGCCTAAATAACCCAGAAAACGGCCAGATGATTAGCAGAACGGAGTCGC